TGCTAATTGTTATTGTTGCGTTATTGTTACGTTCTGTGTTCAATGAGATTGAAATCTTGGTTTAGCATTTTCTTTGTTTGGTTTTGGAAGTGTTTGTCTGGGTAGATTGCTGTCAACTTGACCTTTCCATGCTCTAAGGAAAGTGAAAACCGCCGAGACAACAGCTTGTTCTTGAATAAAGAATAAAATAACACCTCGTGTTTGCTTAGAAAGAGTATAGAGAATATATAGCGACTTCGGTTTGATGAACAAGGAATGACCGTTTGTGGTAACGACGTGGAAACACTACGCCCGGGTATTTTGAGACTCTTAGAAAAAATCAGCTTACGCAATAGTTGGACAACCAGACAAATATAAACTATGTTGAGTTTCAAACGATCCTTCGTGGAAGCGCGACATCTAGCGAGAATGGGCCCAAATGTAACCGATCACGTTTGTTGGATAAACTTGCCTTTTAATATTTTATTCCCTGACACACTATTCTCTGTGATAGAGAATAGAAGATAAAGATCTCGCCGTTGATCAATCCTCGAGGATACGCCATGCACTCGAGTTTATCATGATCGTTAGACGTGATTAATTGGATATATTGATATACACTGACTCTCATTAACCTACTCATGTATCGAGTGAGTGGTGCTCTGCTCCCAGGTAGATCCGCTACCAATTTGCCGACTCCGGAAAGATGGAAGGCATGGTGAGCCTGGAGCGCATGAACGGGCCCATGTGTTTTGCAAGGCACATTTAACCACTGCGCTACATGCGTCCCAGTGATAGAATAATAATTTGAAAAGCCGATAAAGGCAAGTATTTTACAGAAGCACACCAGCATGGAAGACGCTTTAGATCATATTTAGCGGCTGCTGTACTTCTAATAACTGAGCGAGCGGCTGACACCAGCAAGTTTCTGTTTGTTGAGAACACATTTGCTTGATGGACTCGGATAGTCAGGGTAATTAAACTTTTGAGGAATTTTAACATGCAGCATGGAAAAATTTTCCTATCTATGACGACAAAAATCAACCCTGAGTCAGCTCTCAATGGACTCCAAAAAATGAGGTTGAAATGGCAATACAGCACAGTCGGTATGACAACTAGTATAGAAGAAATGCTACTTCGACTATGAATGCAGTAACAATCGGTGACGATACCTAGTACTGCATAGGCTGTTCCGTCGTAGTTTGCGAAAAAGTACCGAATACACCACTTTCTTTACTTACTCATTGAGATATCACTCGAGTGAATCACACTAAACCATTATATCATCTTAACTCTTTCATTTTTTTAAGGACCCGGATGGTGTAGTGGTGAAGTGCGCCGCTCTCCGGTAAGGACAACAGCGTGTGTTCGTTCCCCACTGCATACACCTGTGGTCCGGAGTTTTGCAAATATCTCAGCATTTCATACGCATTATATCATCATCAAAAAGCTGAAGCATTCATGGCAAATCTTGTCACCGCCGTGGTAGACGTGCGACCACAGTAATGTTTTCGCGAAATCCTTGAAAACTACATTAAAATAACGATTATAGAAAACACATGCCGCTATAAACTCGCTAAAGAAGGTGAAATGGTTACGGAAGTGGTTGATAATGCAGCTCATCAACAACCAAGGTGCTGGTTCGATCGTGTCCTAAACGCGTTCCTCCAATACGAGCGGGAGCGACTGAACTCGGCTGTCTCCAAGATTGCAAAGAGAATCGACTCGATCACCATTCTAGGATCTTCATAAAGAGCTCAAGGAGCTGTTGAAACACAAAGAACACCGCTCAAAGCAGAGCAGCGTGACTGTGCTCGTGAGTGCTAAATACGTTTTTCAAGACACCGCTAAGGCCGCAGGTACCAAAGCTTTCTTGCAGTGAACCCCAGTTAGAGCAATCGCTGTAAAATGGCGTCTCTATAATGTTTCTTTCTTGCAAACTTTTATGAAACACTTCGGAAAGCACGGGAGTCTTAGCGACAGAAAAAGTTGCTGCTTCCTGTTTATTTACAAATTTTTACACTGCCAACTGGTATTGAAACTAGTTTCGCACCGATCACGCTCCTCTCGTTCTGCCTCCGACCCTTTAGTTTGTCGTCTTGTCTGTGACCAACACCGATTCGTTTCTTCTTCTTCTTGTCAGATTATTGTCCAGAACACCAGTGCTATAACTTTCTAATGATAATACTTATAATCCATAAATCACAATGTTATACCTTTTTTATTTTCTTCCTACTATAATTTCGCGGCAGGGTACTAAGCGAAAGACGCGTTACTCCCCGGAAAGGACAATATTGCGTTCGTTCCCCATCACAGACACCTGCGGTCCAGAGTTTTGCAAATATCTCAGCAACGTTGTCGTTGTAATCCATAAATCTTTTGCGAAAGCTGAAAATTAATTTCGCTTTGTGCCCTCAAATACAACATATAAACAAAAGGCAGTCGGTTTCTAGAAAAATTGTGTAAAATTAACGTTCGGCATAGCAGTTCGACTCATGAGTTAAGAAGACTTAATTCGTGGAAAAATGGAATTTGAATTCTTTCAAAGTATCCCATCATTCGACACACAGAAAAACAACGGCTTTCCACCATAACGATGATGAGATATTCGCAAAACTTGGTCCACCGGCTTGATTGAAAGGGAAATCATGGTTCGATCTGGCCAGGAGTCCAAGTTTTGCCAATATCTCAGCATCTTTATAGATCTATTTTACATCATACCCTGTCGTGAAAATTAAAGTAGGCAGCAAATAAAACGAGAACGTTGTGATCTCGACTACAGTTTTCATTTAATCAATTCATATTTTTTGTTGGCATTTCTCGAAATGTCAAAAGAAAAGTGCCGAACGGTCTTTACTCCACAGAGTTTCCTTTACTTTTCGTTTGAACTTGTCTTGTTTTCGGATTTCTCACGCACTCCATGATCCTGCTCTACATCTTCGCACTCTTCACAGACTCAGGTGTGATTTGTATTTCCTTGGTGTCGAAGTGCAACATCTATGGCAAGTTCCGCAGGCCCATGTTCACTTAGGCGATGTGACTCGAAGTAACGTTTTTGTATTGCATTAAATCTTTATTTACTACAAAATAAAGTGTGGATCAGAAGGTAGTGGCGGATATCTTTCCAGTGAACTGCCATATACCTCGGAGCAAAGCATTTAAGTTGTATGGTTCAAATTTAACGCACAACATCCGGAACTGTTGAACAAACGAAAAAGTTCGGAAGACACTTTTACTAGGCAGCGTAATTAATGAACATGTTCCTACAAGCCGTTTTTCTCTCCAAAGGTGGCATAAAGTTTTCAACACGTATTCCGGTTTTGAATATATAAGGTTTTTAGCCTTTTTCAGAACTTAGGTGCTATATAGCTTTATTATGTCATTCGTTTTCGCTTTTTGGAGAGTCAGATCACCTATAAGTTGTTTACAAATAGCTCTAAAAAGTTCTCGGCGTTGATCAATCCCTGAGGGATGCGTCATGCATTCGTCTTCACTAAGCATCGTTTCGAGGTAATTGAATGCATATCTGGCCTTTACAATGAACCACGGTGGCCTACCAATATATCGAACCAATGGTGTTACCCTTCCAGAGAAGTCTGGTACCAATTTGCCAGTTTGTCGACCCCGGAAGGATGGAAGGCTTGGTAGGCAATGGGCGCTGGGATCGATTCCACGTATGTGTTACAGGGCGCTTCCGACCATTGCTCCACACCCGCCCATGTTGTTTACATGAGAAGATAAAAGTTCATTGTCATTGAGGACAAACCGTTAGACCAAAATAAACTTGAAAACATCGGCAAATATGCTTACATCTATTTGTCTCAGTGGTCCACAGTTACTTGGGTGCCTCCACTCATCTCGATCGTGATTATCGGTTGTGATGACGTCTACGAGTTTCGTTCATAAACCATTTCCAGCTAGTTGACGTTGCCCGGCAGCACGTGTGCTTAAGAAATAGCCCATCTAGAAGTGCTTTCTTCGTCTTGATGTCAGCTCCACCAATTTCATCGTCCAACTTTCATTAACTCTTCTCATTGGCAGAAATGCTTTTTTAAAATATGGATTGAAACGACAGCCAGTATTCCCTACTGATGTTTACAACTTTAGATATCTGAAATCCTTCATGATCAACTGTTGAGTTCCACACAATTTTTTTTATCCCGATTTGATGGTTCCCATAAAAGACTTGTAGAGCACACTTTAAAAAATTCTTCTGGTGGTTATGAAGACCATTTAGATCTCTTATCTGAGACAAGGTGACCGTGCGCGCTGACGTCGTCTAGGATGTTTCCACTCTAACACTTTGAATTCGAAATGAAATACGTGGGCTGCATGTTAGTCAACATGAACTCACATCAACTCGTTGTCGTTTATGTCAGTGCTGCAAAGGGCAAATCTACTTTGGTGTATCTTGTTGAATAAACATTAATATGATAGAGGTAGAGATGGAATTTCTTCAAACTAGTTTTAAGTTCCTTCAGACCGGTTCTTCTAGGAGTTGCCTACGGAAATATTTTACTTTGCATGCACGTCTAGAACCTTGCACAGCCTATAAGATGGGACAGAACATCGACATCTCGTCGGGGAAACATTCTTCGAAATATGATAAGTGGTCCGTCATTTAACCAGAGTATGTCGGTGCTTTTGCTTCTGACCAGCTGCGATCAAGTGGAACTTAAGCCACTCTGCTTTCTATAGGAAATCATGGAGACCTAAGTCAGAAGGGTTTGTTCTAATTTGGTATATACAGAGAAGAAAACATTCTTCAGCCAAATCATGGACGTGTTATTTTTTACCCGGTTCCAGAAAGGTCGCCATGATATCAGAGATTTAAACACGACCGCCCTTTACCGGTTCTCTATCCGCCCGAAGGCGTAGATTAAAATTGCTATCGTGGAGTGCATTTGCTCAAACGACATCCAGGGTATTTTCTGGTTCATCTTGCACTTACGTAGCTTTCTAAACCAAACTGTTTCATAATTTTTCTTTTCTGCAACTCAAGGTGATTTGTTTTATTAGGTGAAGCAGCCAACTGCCACATGAAACGTGACGTGGGTTATTCGTGCGATGCGCCGAAACGAATGCTGTTCTATTACGATGCTCGAACAGGTGGATAAATACAACTCAATTCGTTGGTGTTATCATGCCAATATGTGTCAAATGACACCTCTCACGTGGTATTAGTCACAATAATAAAAAGAGCAGTGTTTTAGCTAATTTTTTTTTTATTTTACATGACCCGTCTTCACGTCTACTGTGCGGATCCCTGCACGTCTCACACTCTCTTCGTTTCCTCGCATCCACCGTCCACGAAGATCTTTCAACGTTTACGTGTGGCTTCGCTTGCTGCTTGAGGATTTTCATTTCATCGTGAATATCGTAGAATACTGGTTGACCAGTTCTCCTTGAAGTCCTGGGATAGCCGAGCTGGAGCGCTCCCAATTGGGCTGCAGAGAGTGATTTTTTCCCAGGCGAGTCCGGTGTCAATTTCCAGAGCTCGGAAGGATGAGAGGCTTGGTTAGCCCGAGCCGGAATCGAACTAGCAGCATGCTCGTAATGACGTACACCACCACCACTGTGCTATCCAGCCCTAGCTAAAGCCAAGAGAACTGAGACATTTCTATAACTAGTGGCAGTGACGAAGCATAGAGTGCTTGCTGTTGTGTCGTTTGTTTGGCAGTCATTATTACACTAGAGGTAGAATGTCAATATCTCGCAGTTATAGGTGCCTGTCAACCAATGTTATATCGAGGCTGCGGAGGCAACGAAAATAAATTCGATAGTGCAGCCGAGTGCAACGAAATATGCGGAAAAAAGAAAGCTAGAAATGAGAGTGACTTATTCACAGAAAAACACGGACTTGTCGGTGAGTCGTTTGATCCAGATATTGTGCAACCAGCGGCTTCACTGATAGCACTTCTAATCAGAGAATAAATGGTGAGCGTAGTCTTCCTTTTTTACATAATTTAAATGGTTTATAACTTCATCGCTGTTCGAGTGTTCCTCGATACGGTGGCTTTAATGACGAAAGTAAACAAACAGAGGTTAACAAGGTGGCAAACCTACTTCGCCTCTGATCCATATGATCCGCAAAAAAAAACTAGCTGCCTTTGCTAAAGACTTGTGGACGACCTAAGATTACTTTGAGACGGTGCAAATAGATCAACAAACAATTAAATAATTTTGTTACCCACGACCACAGCCGGAACACCAAAGAACGCCACAGAACACCTAGCGGGCAAACATAGACTAAACACACCGCTAGGCATGCATAGGACCCAGAGACGTAACGGGGACGAGTTTGAAGTATGTGTCACGATCCTCGCACGCTAATCAAGAACACAGGGGCGAAAAACTCTCGAGGCATTCTGGATTAATTCCAGAAATCCGAAAATGAACCGCAGGGAAGAATGCCTCATTATCACGCGTGATATAGGGCAGTATATAAGACTGCTATTCTGATGGGAGGGGCACATTATACTTCCATGTGGTTTCTGTGCGGTTGGTCTCTACGTGACATACTTAGTGGAAACCTAATAGAAAGCGGTGAGTGTGCAAAGCTGTGTTCAACGTGATTGAAATTTTGATTTAGAGTTTCTTTGTTTGGTTATGGAGGCGTCTGGCCGAGTAGATTGCTGTCAACTTGACCTTTCCAGGCTCTGAGGAAGGCGAAATCCGCCGAAACGTCAGCTTATTCGTGAATAAAGAACAATAACACCTCGCGTTTGCTCAACAAAAATACGAAGAATTAGTTTTGTTACCATTCATACCGGGAGATTTTAGGTAATTATCGAAACCGCCCGCGGATCTCCATCATACGAGGGACCCCGATAGCCGATTAGTCGCGACGCCACGTGGCGTGTCCCCAAGTGGCGGATAGAGGATTAATCGCAGACCAAAAGCGACCTTTGCTTCCCTGAGACGCAGGTGGATCCAGGGGATAGACCCCCTGTTTCTGCCGCGCTGATTTAGCACATACTTTCTGTATTTGCTAAGCGTATTCATGCATGCGTGTGTGGGTGCGTTCTTGCTTCCCTGCAATCAAGTAACCGGGAAGTATACGGGAGGCGGTTAGGACTCGCCTCCAACAAATAAGCTCCATGTCCACTCTGGGAGAGCATGGCAAGCTACCCGTGAGTATACCCAGTCCCCACGTTCAGAGCCCAACAAGCTATACGTGGGTGTCAAAAATGCAAAACACGGTGAAAGAAAGGGCCTCATTCTCCTGACCCCGAAAGAGCTCTCAATTTCGCAGCGTTGGGCAGGACGAGTACGGAGAGGCTGCTAAAATCTCGGAGCCAATGGAAGCTGCCTGAATTTCAAAGAACTATGGTGACGATCTGTACCTACAATGCACGTACACTTGCATCCAAGTCCTCGATAGAAGACTTGCTCATGCAAGCAAGAAGGATAAAGTAAGACGTCATCGGCCTGGCCGAGACGAGAAGGCTCCACCATTTCAACGCCGTCTATGACACCTGAGAAGAACTGTTCCTCGGAACATGCGACAATAGAGGAGTCGGAGGCGTCGGCGTTCTCGTCAGCACCAGTATGTCCAGTTGTTCATTCGAACAACTTACAACCCAAATCGGATGTTTACGATTAAAAAGACGTGGAACAATTCCGGCTTTGATAATTATCGTCGTTTACGCCCCGTCATCAAACTATGACGAAGAAGAAGTTGAAGCGTTCTATATGGACTTGGAAAAGTTCTGCAGAGAAAACCATACATTCTTCAACGTCATCATTGAAGATTTCAATGCCAAGATTGGACCAAGAAGAGCGTCTGCAGAGCATCAAATTGGGACTCATGGATTACAATGGAACGAACAGAGTGAGCGGCTATCTGAGTTTATCATAGCGACCAAGACAATCCGTGGTAACTCGCAATTCCAGAAGCTCCATCCTCAGCGCTTGACGTGGGAGTCTCCCAATGGAGTGTGCCACAACGAAATAGACCACATCGTAGTAAATAGAAGGTTTTGCGTAACCGATGTCGCTGTTGTCCCAAAATTCTACACGGGATGAGACCACTGTCTCCTTCGTGCAAGATTCTATTTCTCGCGGAAAGGAGAAAAAGCCGCTAAATTCAAAAACCGAAGTCCCAGAACCACCACAAACTGGGACTTATTCAATTCATTAGTCGGCTGTTGGGAAGATGCCGTTGTCGACAAAAACGACGAAGAATACGATCGGCTCATTCAACATCTTCACGTTAGCGCTATGAAAGCTCAGAGTTCGAAAGTCACCAGGAGACGTCTGTCTCCAGAAACACTCGAGCTGATACGTCAGCGCGGAATCGCACGCGCTGCAAGCAACCGCGAACTAACGTCCGAGCTTGCAAAACAATGCAGACAGGCGATAAAAGAAGATCTTAGAGAGAGAAGAGCAGCAGTAAAAACCGAAGCTGCAGAGATTGAGAAAAACATTAGCAAAACCCGCCGAAGCTTCGCCAACTACAAGACCAAGATAACCGCACTCCGACGCTCAGACAGAACAGTTACAGCGTCGAAAAAGGCAATGGAGAAAATCATTCACAAATACTACTCAGATCTCTTCGATAACCACGTCCACCTTCCGTCATGTGAAATAAAGGAAGATGGGTATGTTGTACCACCGGTTCTCCCTTCCGAAATCCGACACGCCATTTCGTCGGTGAAAAATTGAACAGCATCAGATCCGGAGAGGGTAAGATCAGAGTAACTGAAGAACCTTCTGCCAGTCCTCTTAAACGCATTGGTTCGGCTCTCAAGCGTTACCTCTCTGAATCCAAGGTCCAAACGCAGTGGAAGACCAGCATGACCATGTTATTGCTCAAAAGGGGTGACCTACACGATATCGCCAACTATCGTCCAATCTGCTTGCTGTCTGTCGTCAACAAACTTTCACTCGAGTCATCCTAAACAGGACTGACAGAACACACTGTACAAAGGACAACCATGTGAGCGAGCAGGGTTTCGAAAACGATTTAGTACGATGGACCACGTCCACACGATAACAAGGCTCATTGAAGTATCGCGGGAGTACAGAAGACCGCTCTGTCTCACTTTCATTGATTTACAGAAGGCTTTTGGTTCAGTTGAGATAGAAGCAGTCTTGGAAGCCCTTGATAGTCAAGGAGTCCCTGCTCAATACATAAAGATCCTTCGTGAGCTGTACAAAAATTTCACAACCAAGGTATTTTTTTTCACATCATTCTACAACGATATTAACATTGACATCAATAGAGGAGTTAGGCAAGGTGATACCATCTCGCCGAAATTATTTACCGCCACCCTCCAGAACATGATGCGAACATTGGAATGGGATAATATAGGAGCGAAAATCGACGGTTAGCAGTTACACCATCTTCGCTTTGCTGATGACATCGTCCTTATAACACCAAACGCTGGCCAATCGAAAGGTATGCTTGACGACTTTGATAAAGCCTGTGGAAAGATTGGTCTTCGACTAAATCTCACAAAAACGATGTTCATGAAGAACGGATTGGTTTCGCATGCTCCATTCACGCTCAACGGAACGAATTTCTCCGAATGTTCCAGTTATGTCTATCTTGGTCGGGAAATCAACATGTTGAACGACTTAGCTCCAGTGTTGAGCAGAAGGAAACAAGCGGCTTGTTGAGCTTTCAAGACCATCGAGGGAATTGTGCAGAGAACAAAGAAGATTCGACTCCGTGCTCTCTTTCTCGACTCAACGGTACTTCTTGCCCTAACGGATGCGTCAGAAACCTGGCCAATGCATAAGAAGGATGATAAAGACTCAGCGATATCGAAGGCGCAGTCGAAAGGACGATGCTAAGAGTATCCCATTTAACATAAGTAAGGGAGGAGATCCAAAGTCTCGAACTGCGGCAACGGTCGAAAATTAAAAATGCCCTTCTGCACGCCAAATAGCCGAAGATAAGGTGGGCCGAACTCGTAATGCATTGGAGCCGTTAGTGACTGGATTTTTCGGGATGTTAAGCGCACTGCAGGAGGACCATCGACTCGATGTTTAAAGTTCTTCACGAAAAGTCTAGAAGTAAGATATTATGCTCGATGAGTTCCTAGAGCGAGTAGACCCTACTGGGCTACTCTTGCACGCGACAGGGAAAAATAGAAGATTTACTGGCGCCCGATCGAGTCACTCGACGATCAGGTGATACAGGTGATTGAAAGCAGTTGTTAAGAACAAGTTCTGTATTGTCGCTGTACAGCGAAAAAAAGCGTTAGTCAGCAGCCATGCAGCCATTTTATGGCGTCTATGCCTTGATCAACTAAGGCAGGATGCCATTGGTCTTCGCACTGTTGCATTTCTTGTCACAGTCAACGAAGGGTAGCAGTAAATGCAAACGGTATGCTAGGCAGATCTTTACGAATTTTGATGGAAGTCGTTAATGCACATGTCTGTTGGAATATCCAGGTCTCCTTTACAGGCTCGGATTCATCAATGTTCACAGCGGTGCGCGTAAGGATAACCTTCATGATGAACTTGCATAGAATGTGCGGTGAGACGACTAAGGGGTATTTGCTAAAGCAATCCATCCTCTTTGCCCTTTACGTACCAAGAAAGTAGGCGAAGTCTTTCGTTGCTTGGCAACTGGTTCTATTTGTAGATAAGATGTCATTCATGTTAGCATATATTTTATGGTAATCAGATCGCAGAAAATCGCTAGAAATACTGCCTTCGCCGCAAGTTCTCTCCTACTTCAAGCCTCTGTTCACACTTGGAACACCAGCGTTGAAGATTCTTGGCGGTACTTTTTCATACGGAGCGATATATAGAGCTAGAAATATAGAGGAATTCTCTGTTATGGATCCGATCCCACAACAGAAGTGGAACATAACCTTTTCCACCGAGTTGAGCAGATATCGGAATTTCATATTCATGAAAATCCAAACTTTCATCTCGTTTTTATCGCATTATCTTCATTCACGCTCAACCGTACGAATATCTCCGAATGCTCCAGCTACGTCTATCTAGGTTGGAAAATCAACATGATGAACGATTCAGCTCCAGATTTAAGCGGGAAGAAGCGAGCGGCATGGGGAGCTTTCAAGAGCAACGGGGATGCAACGAAGACAACGATGAACACCCGACTCCATGCGCACCTTTTCGAATCCATGATTCTTTTGCTTTAGTGTATGCTTCAGAAACATGGTTGGTACGTAATTAGGATGTAAAATCACTGAGTTATAAAACGCGCAGTCGAAAGGACGATGCTAAGAGTATGCCGTATCATGCAGATGAGAGAGGGGATCCGACCTACGCCTACGGTCGAAAATCAAAGACCCTGTTCTACATGCCGATTTGCCGATGATAAGGTGGACCGGAGAAGTAATGCGTATGAACGACAGCCGATGGACAAGAGCCGTTAGTGGCTGGATTCGTTGGGATGTCAAACGCACTGCAGGAACACCACCTACTCGATGGTCAGAGTTCTTCACAAAAACACTGGAAGAATGATATGAAGCTCAGCGAACCCCTAGAGCGAATAGAACGCAATAGGCTGCTTCTGCATGCGACAGGGAGAACTGAAGATTTACTGGCTCCTGCTAGCCTCGATAAGGATTAATATTTAGTACCTTCCAACAAATAGTTGTAGTGAATAAATGCTTAGTGGCTGCACACCAACATTTAGACGAAGGTTCCTTTTCTCGCAGTACCTCTTTAACACAGTTGAAAAATATCCGCAACTTGTTTTTAGCTTAAAAATAGCTTGCTCGGAATAGGTTCGTAACCTTCCCAGTGCCATCCGTTATCTCCATTGGTTCCTCACTTCAACACTATTAACCATGCGAATCATGAAAGAATGAACCATCAACAAGAATAAGCGTGTCGATAAAATTTGTTTTCTTACTTCTAAAGGATGATTCATTCTCCACTACATGATGTTATTCTTCACGCAAAGGTCGTGATCCGGACTGGTGTAAGAAGATGGAACGACGTCGACGTTGAATAGAGTCCTGTTTACAAGAATGTGATCGATCTCCGCTTGAAACGTACGGTTTAAAAATCCACATCTCCTGCGGAAATGGTCTCCGTTTTTGAAAAATAGAAAGAAATTCCACGAAAAAAGAATCATCTACTGGTGTAGTTGATTAATCGGAAGCAGTATAATTGGCCAGTCGGGCGTGTATTGCTGCGTTTCAGTTGCAGTCATGCCTTCTGCCAGACCATGCTGAGAACTGATCGCGATTTATTTAAGAAGCACACGTTTTTCGATATACTATATCTTATAGCGCTATTAAACCACCTTTTAGCACTGTGGAATTGGCTAGGCCAAAATTTAACTGATTCATGCGAAGAGGCAGCAAAACGCAGCCAAAGGACAACCCTGGATCATGCGTTGCATAAAACATGACCACGATCGTACTCCACATCACCTTTCCTCATTGCTAGAACTTGTTCTTCCGTTCAAAGTCAAGCTATTCCAGTGTGCACTAGCAAAGTTCCCAATCTATGCTGGCGGGTTAGTTCCGCTAGCTCGAAGGTCGTGAAGAGTACAACAGCTTTGGGAAATTGTAGACTGACTATTTGTTACCTGAACTCATCTACCTCTCCGAGCTTACGTTTAACTATTCGCCTGTCTGCCATCCTAGGGTAGCCCCTTAACTAAATGAGTGGTCAGCTTTTAGGAGGATCCGTGTCCATTTCAACTTGGTTTCATCTGTTCCACTTATATTTGCACGCACCTTACCCTTATGTCGTTTTGGTAGTTCAGTCCTTCAAAACGTCATGAGTTATAAGAGTTCCTCATAACACAACGTCACTGAGTATATGGTGATTTCAATGGTATTATTGAAAAACATTAAAACATGTATGTTTAAGGCCGATTATGCATTTTATAATAATAAGATAATAAGAGCATTAGCAATGGAATCGAGCACTGTAAAGATGGCTTTACATTAGATTTTTCTGAAGCTAGCAGAGCGACTCACAAATACTGCTTTGATTGATTTGATATGGATCAGGAATATCACAGATGGGTTTTTTTTTATTCAAAATCTTCTCCTTAAATATGTGGGTTTTGAAAAGGAAAGCAAGACCTAGATTTCATTTGACCGAGATATTTCAGCAACGTATTCAACGGCGGTAGAAGTCCAGAAGTCCAACGAATTAGGATGCAAAAAAAATTGTTTTCATTCATAATACTGCTTAAGTGGGCGTGTAGTGTAATCGCTAGAGGATGCCTGCAATAAACATTATAACGTTCTCTGGCTTGACCCTGCGCTCGGGGATCACCAAACCTTCGATCCCTCCGGAGTCGGAAATTGGTTCCAGACTTTTCCGGGAAGATAGCAGCACTGACTGGACCAGCTGTGAATTCATCCTCCTCTAAGATGCTTAGTACATAGCGCACCCATCAGGAATTAACGCCGATCCTTTTAATCCTACTAACGAAGTTTTTTAATATACATTTAGTGGATGAGTGCAACATTCCAACTGATGCAGACGTCCTAGACGTAGCGAAAACTTGTGAAGACGGTTGCCCGATGAACTATCGTTGCAACGAAAACAATAAATGTTGTCCGACGAAAGGTACGTTATTAAACTCTTCCACGGATTCATGGCAATAATCCATCTTAAAACTATACGTCTAAGCCAAATAATTACAGAGATGAAGTTGAGTAAGAACTCCTCTGGAATGAAATGACCTACCTAACTTGCATTCCCAAACTTACGATGCATCGCTTGAACTCATTTCTACCTACACTTCATATAGTCTCTGAACATTCTTGCTACTAGCCGCCCATTGTTACGCCACGAAATCATATGATCGTTTAACCTTGACCACTTTAGAATTAACTTACAATTAAGCCGTCTTGTAGTCCAAAGTGACGAACAAAAATCAGATCTGCCTAACGGATGCTTATTGAGACTCTCATCTATCGTACTCAATATCTCGCTTACACAAACTGAGCTCTATTTCGAAATAGGAACTGCTTTAGATGTTCTAGAGTAGATTCCACGAATATCACATATCCAAGTATGCGCACAGTTCGTGATAATAAACCTCATGGATGTCGCTGATGGTGAATTTACCTTTGTTCCGAAGTTTTCTTCTTGCGCTTGGAGTGATATCATCATCTGATATTTTCACAAATACGGAACGTTCATAGAAGAATGATGATGCAGAGGCGTTTGCAAAACTCCGGACCGCAGGTGTTTGCGTTGGAGAATGAACGCACTACTGCCCTTTCCAGCGACTAACGCGTTTACCATCAAACCACGCGAGTTCTTCGTTTTGTTTGTCAATCGACATCGTTTTTCATCGACCAGTGCCATCAGCTCAGACAGACCGTTTAGTTTTTTGTTCTGTTCAGCTCTCACGCTATATAAATGAAGCGGCTAACATTTCACTTAGTTCCTTTGTTTACTTATACAGTTCTTGTCATATAACCTGGTAGATCATCACTGTTGTAAACCTCTTCAAAAACACGAAAACGCCTATCTGTAAGCATATGGGTGAGGTGTAGCAACACATTCCTGCGTAAGACCATGCTATCGCACGTTTCCTAAGCGAGGGTAGCAGCACTGGAATTCTTATACAGATTTACTAAAATAGATCGTTTCAGATTACATATGCTCACTTCCTGTCACTAGTGGATCTGAAATTACTATATTTAAACACTATGGACGGTACGCACATCAACATCATCTCAGGAATTGTATTCGCTTTAGTTATTTTGGAAGCGGTGGGAACTTCAACAACTTTCGAACGTATAACGATTGTAAACGATTCTGCATGGATTCCTGAGAATAAACAATTGATAGAGCTGATAGAGCTGACTTCTTCATGGATTATTCCTTGTCGATGAGAACAAACTATGCAAGAGTGCAATACGAGACGAAGTTTTAAAGCCACAACATGGCCACTTGACGTGACAGTTCACTGAGATACGAGAAGTTACATGACTACCAAAACTGTAAAATAACGAATAAATACAACCACAAAGATGGTGAAATGTTCGCAAAACTTGGATCACGGGATAGATCGAAACACGACTACTCTCCAATCTGCGTGGGACTCTGTGATGCAGTGTATAACACGTGAGCCCCTGGAAAGGGTAAACGTGGTTCGGTCTGGCCCGGGATCCAAGTTTTGCGAATATCTCAGCACCGTTGTGGTTGTATCCCACATCATACCCTGCCGTGAAAAATCACAGTAGGCAGAAAAAAAATGAATAAATATTTATCAACAATTGATAATAAAAAAGCAGAAAACATAAAACTTTAGACCGATAAAAGAACGTATTTATGAAATGGTATAAACTACCAAAACATTTCCTGTCAATGCTCCGATAAATACTTCGTAATACCATTTAATTAGTGACTTGATGCTCATCGAGAGCTTCTAAAACCTCCTTTTTGTACGTGTCAAAATCGCCATCAATTTCAGAAATTCCCTACAACGATAAACGTCTATATATGGCGAGCCAATGAACAAGAAAGTACTGAGGATAAGAACCTGGTTCTCCACAACCCATAAAGTGCACTCGGTAGCTCGCACTAGTCGCTCATCGTGAGTCACCATCACCACTCCACCACCAAAGTTCTCAATAGCAGTTGATAGGGCATCTATAGATTCAATGTCCAGGTTATTAGTAGGCTCATCCTAGAAAAACAAACTGAATTAACTTTTGAAGCAATGGAATTGTATCGTTCTCCCCTTAAAAACCAACCAATCACACGAACTGACTAGTAACAACATATCAGGCTCTCCTAGGGCCAATTCTGCCAATGCGACGCGTGACTTCTGACCACCAGATAAATCTTTAATTTTAACAGTGTGCGCATGTCCCGGCAATCCCACCATTCCCAAATTCTTTCGAGCCAGCTATAATTATACAACTTCGTTGAGATTCCACCTAATAGCAATTGATAAAGGAGGCCACCTGATGATCGATATTGAATTTAGAGCCCAAGTACTCAATTGGATTTTGTTCCCCATTCAAAGCCTCGTTTGCATGTTGATCAAACCACCCTATCTTTACTTGGCGATGCCTCGTGAGTTCTCCTTGTAACTGGAAAAAAACTTTAAAAATTGAAAAAGAAACTGCAACGCAAAACAGCAGTTTACAAGAGTGATTTACATACGGGTTCAATCTTTCCCGCCAGAAGTTTTAAAATCGTTGATTTCCCTACTCCATTTGGACCGACAATAGCAATGCGTGAATCCATGTCGACACCAAAATCCAAATTTTTAAACAAAACGTTGTCACCATAGCCAAAAGTCACGTCTAAAACACACATTTCTCTAATTACTCGAAATGTTGTAGGAAATCTTAAGAGTCACCATGCAATCCGAGAATGGGTGGGGCCAGCTTATCGGTGTCCGGAAATGAAAATTTCACACTGTACTCCTTGATACGCTGTAACAACTCCGGAGGTGGAACGTCACCTGAGACGCAATTGACAATGTATCTTAATAAAACATTTCTCTCCTAGGAGATAGCATGCGCTGTGATAACATGAAGAGTAAAAACAGTTAGGAATTTATGAAATCCACTACAAATTGGGTTGCTACAGTCATACTCCTATCCTTACAAACATATAATATTTCTTTTAATTTCTCGACGAACGAAGGATTTCAGAAGCTCATAACCTTATAGAATTATAGACGACTTTAGTCGCATTAAACACATGCGTAATTGTCATACAGTATTCTCACCAATCCTAATATGCTTGGAACTAGTACTTTCCAAGAAAAAAACGAGATTTACGATTCTAAGAAATTCCAAGGAAAAAGCAACAGCTGCAATCACAAACACCACACTGAGAGACACTACTGCGCACTTCTGGATTAAATCTCACCTGTTTGAATGCTTACGCGTTCGAAATACGAGCGTTGATGCAAATAAGGTGAAAATAGACGTTCCATGGGCTTCAGAAAAACAATTTTAAGAAATAAAGAACAAAGCTCTTCCAGTTGATCAATCCCTGAGGGATATGCCGTGCATTCGACTATCATTAAGCATCGTTGGAGGTGATTAAATGCATATCTAGCCCTTACAGTGACTCGCGGTGGCCTACCGATGTATTGAGTCAGTTCTGTTATCCCCCCAGACAAGTCTGGTATCAATCTGCCCACCCCAGATAGATATAGGGCTTGGTAACCCTTGGGCGCCGGGATCGATCCCATGTGTATTGCAGGGCGCGTCCGAACACTACACAACACGCGCCCAAGCTTCCGCATCAGTTAGAAAACCACTTAGGAGAACAAAATAACCCGTACCATCCTATCCAATAATCTGTAGCTTCTAAAAGGCTTATATGTCAACTAATAAAATCCATCATAAGCCGAGATTTGTTGGTTTAAACACAAAAACTTACATTAATTTTTGCAGATTATTAAAAACACTACATGCCTAGCAAAAGGTGCTGAGGGAGAGTTGGTTGCAAATAGCTAAAAAGAGCAAAAAATTATAAAAAACATACTTTCATCTCCAATTGAAGAAGAACCTTTCTTCGCTTTCGTTTGTTTATTCTGTTTATTTTGCATATTCTTTTTCAACTCCTCCTCCGCTTGCTTGGCACTTTTGCCGCTTTTTTTCAAGGCTTGAATTTGCTTTTGCTGACTTTCATAGGCTTTTAGGTATTCCTTCATCTTTTGATTGTACATTTTTTTGAACGAAGCTGAAAAACAAAATAAAGTGGGAAACATGTACTATCAGTTACAATAAAGTATCCAAGCAATAAGCAATTCAGGAATAGAGTTCATGGTGCTTCAGAAGCTCACAAAAATCACACAGCTACAACTATATTCCATTTGTAAAAGCATTGAGAAATCAAATCTATAGATGCGTTCTTCTTTGACAAGCAAAGTTCAGACGGCAACTAAGCCTGTACTTCACAGCAACTTATCTGGATACTTAGATGGCTTATCTTCACTAGTTGTGCGGCCAACGGCATAATCTCCATTCTTTGGAGATTTGCTAGTTTAGCCATTGTCGTTTCCTGGAGTCGCGAGGTCACCCTGGTCAATCTGCCCAGGTAATCACTGCCACAGGCGGTGGCCGCCCTTGTGGATTAGACGTAGGTTTTCCACCATGCGACTAGTTCGATACCAGGATGGTGGTGGATGCCGGTATTCGTTTATTCTTAGCTTGGTTTCCTGATGGGAACGCCGGACTCGTTCTCAGCATGGGAGACCCCGCCGAGGGGATGAATGATCCCGCTGTACATCGCATCCCGACATCCAAGAATACTTCCCAGCCACAATGAGGCGGTAAACCGTTGCAAGGGCACTTTACACTCAAAACAGTCAATTACCAAGTAACGGAATTCGCCAGTTGTGTTTTGGAAAAGAGGTTGAATGGACGAAATAGGAAAACGCCCTTCTTTGTAATCCTAGACAACTTCAGTAAGGCCAATACAAGAAATAGGAAAAAGAATGAACCTACCATAATTTCCTTTATAATAATGCAATTTTTGGTCTTGCAAATGAATGATGTCTGTGCAGACATTATCTAGGAATCCTTGGTCGTGAGAAACAATTAACAAAGTTTTTTTCCATGATTGAAGGTAGCTAAAAGGGTTTCCGGATTGAAAACATAAAACAGATGGAACTAAAGCAACACACAAACCTGTCTAGCCATATGACAGCATTCAAATCCAGATGATTCGTGGGTTCGTCTAGCATGAGGAAAGTTGGTTCCAGGAATAACGCACGAGCAAGGGAAATCCGCATGCGCCAACCTCCAGAAAAGTCCTCAATTATGCAATAGACCTCATTCTTTGTTTTGAGTAAAGAAATGAGCCATAAAATTAGGTCTCTATTACAGCACTACCTTAACAGCCTTTTCTTGCATTTCTTTCGAAAATCCCAAGCCAGCAAGGATTCGCCGCGCTCGAGGCTCTGCGGCATCCGAACCGATGTCGCGAAGTTCCCTTGCAGTTTCCTGAAGACGCTCAACAACACCACTGTTGCCCTCTTCAAGTTCTTTTGTCAAACGCTCCTGTTCAGCCAAAAGATCGAGCCTCTTTTTATCCGATTTTACAACGGTGTCAATTGCAGAAGTGTCGTCAACAGCGATTTCTTAAAATAATAATGTATGTCAAATAGAAACAATTTAATTTCCTAAACTGCATAGCAACATTTAGCCTTAGATATTTATCAGCAAAGTCGATTAAAAAAATAAAAGGACAAAGCTCTCAGCGCTGATCAGTCCTTCCTGAGGGATGTTCTATGCATTCAAATTCATTAACGATCGTTGGAGGTGAGTGCATGCACGTCTGGCCTTTACAATGACTCGCGGTGGCCTACTGATGTATCGATAGCTACTGTACCCAGTGCTGCTAACCTCCCAGACAAGTCCGATACCAATTTTACAACATCGGATGGATGGAAGGCGTAGTGGGCCAGTGGCGCGGGGATGGATCCCATGTATGTTGCAGGGCGCCTCCGTACAGAGCGCCACACGCGCCACAGTAAAGTTAATACATCAGAATAATATGCTAGACTCTGCAAAGACAATGGAGAAAATACCAGAAGGGTCCTCATTGGACATCAAGGAATGACGAATTTGTTCCTGCACACACCTTGCTCACAATAAAGGACGTCGATGTGTTCAGGAATTCCTTTTAGTCGTCTTGATCCTATGTGTTTCAACAGTGTAGTCTTTCCCATCCTAAAAAAAGCTTTGCATAAATATCTGCGTGTAACATAAAAGAAGACTGACCCATTAGGTCCAACAAGTCCATATTTCCTCCCGTAGACAATTGTAAGTTCGGCTTTGTTGAAAAGCAGCTTGCCTTGAGCAGCTATATCGAAGTTGTCGACCTATAAAAGCATTCTGAATAAATATCACGAACAAACCCCTCAAGAAAAGGTACCTTTATATCCATGCTGTTTTCAGTTTGCTGCTTTTTTGAGTAACTTTGAGAAGCTTGGGAAACAGTGAACTGCCCGCCAAGCTGAGCTCCAGAGCCGATACCCTTTTCACCTTAAACCAAATACCCGAGAATAGAGATAAAAAAGGATAAAGCTCTCGGCGTTGATCAATCTCTGAGGGATGCGTCATGCTCATACTTCATTAAGCATCGTTAGAAGTGATTGAATGAATATCTGGCTTTTACGACGACTCGCGGTGGTCTAATGATTTATCGAGCCGCACTGCTATCCTCCTAGACAAGTCTGGTACCAATTTGTCGACCCCGGAGGGATGGAAGGCTTGGTGGGCCATGAGCGCGGGGATCGATTCCATATCTGTGTCGCAGGGTATATCTGACCACTGCGCCACACACGCACCTAATACTCGAGAATAGAACTGATAAAGTAATGTACAAAACAAGAAGTTTAGCAAGGTCATAACAGTAGCCAACTCACCGTCGTCATTTCGAATATCACTCGCGTTTTGTCCATCAATCGTACCACCCATTTCCAAAATCTCCCTTTCATACCCAGCTCGCTTTGCCAACTTCTTCAACTCCCTTAAACACACTCAATTTTTTTGTGGACGACGATTCACATATTCACATTAGAGATAGGAACAAATCAGCAAACACTAGGAGATATCAGTGACCACTCAGACCGGGATATCCTTTCAAAAATGTCAACCACAAATGGTGGAATTGATTTTTCAGTACCTTTTTGTAGGCTTCTTTTCCTTGTCAACTTTTAGTTCGGCGACTTGCTCAGTCATATCATCGCCCGACATTTCCCTAGAATTCTCGGAGGCTAATCTATAAAAAGTTGACCATAGATCTTCAGCGAATACGAATAGAAACGACGAGTAATTACACTGAGAGTTTAACTATGAAAAGCCAAAAATATCCCAGAAAGGATAAGCTGAACGAAAGGCTTGCAAGGAACTGCTTAACGTGGAAAACGAGCCACTTCCCACAAAGGCTCTGGATTTTGTTCGAAATCACTTTTAGACGTCAACAAAATGTTGATCACGGAGAAAACAATTGATTTGACGACAAACGGAAAATACTCACCACACCAGAGATTGTCCGGCGATAAGCATACGTACTAGTTCCGTGTTTCGTGATATATTTGAAGTCGCTACTGTCATATGAATCATTCTGAGATTTGTTAGATCAGGATATGCATTGAAGAGGTTATTCTCAGCAATAGAAGTCCACTTTCTCGTACCTTACTTACTTGGATACTTGGTTGACCCATCTTCAATGGTTGTACGGGTCCCAGCATAATTTCCATTATCTCGGAGTTCTGCTGGTTTAGCCACTGTGGTTCCCTGGAGCCCCGAGATCAGCCAGACCAATGTCTGCCCCCGGTCGTCACCTCGTCACCACCGCAGACAGTGGCCGCCCTTGTGGATCAGACGGAGGTTTTCCACCATGCGACTAGTTCGATACCAGGATGGTGGTGGATGCCGGTATTCGTTTAATCTTAGCTTGGTTTCCTGATGGGAACGCCGGACTCGTTCTCAGCTTGGGAGACCCCGCCGAGGGGATGAATAATCCCGCTGTACATCGTAGCCTGACATCCAGGAACACCTCCCAGCCACGATGAGGCGGTAAACCGTTGGGAGGTTTCTCGTACCCATTCACGGAAATGTCCGCACTCCTTGCAATCAGTTCAGAAATGAAGTTCGTAATTAGATTAGGTTAGTGCGCCGTATGATACCACAGTTCTGATTTTGGCACACTTTCGTTTGAGAAAACATTGTCGTTTCTTCGCCATTATGTAGTACATCGTCGATCGGTCCATACCATGCGAGAGGTGCGCCATTAACCACAGGCCAAAGTTGAGATGCGTTGGAGTCGACCGTCAAGGGGTCGCTGGGTGAGTATGGTTCATTGGACAGGTGCTCCCTCGAGGAAGATCCAGGTCGATACGAAGACGGATATGACATCTCCAGAATACGAGCGGCTGTGGACCATCGACTCGGATCATCGACTCTGATGAACATTAAGACGTCGAAACATTATCCGGATAAAAGTTGTTTATCATCCTTGTGTAAGCTCAGCAATTCAAAACATTTCAAGGAGTCGACTACATCGACGACGTACAATTCATGTCATTCACATCATACACTGGATGTGTGCACTGCTGGTATGTACTTCTCGGCTGTCGAATGACTTGAGCAGGCTCGAACTACTGCATCCTTCCCCATCGAAGCCACCGTTGTGCATTCGGCTCTAGGAACACGAGTAACGTAACTCGTTCAGTGTTCTCAACGCTCAACGAGCTTGCATTTTATCTTCTACTTTATTACATGGCCCAAAATCACATGTACCGCACGTGCGGATCCCAGCACTTCTTGTATTCGATTTCTTTCCTCGCACCCACAATTCAGGAGCGTCTTGGACGGATTTTTTCCGTTTAGATTTGGATGCGGCTTGAGAGCTTTTTCGTCTTCGACGTAAATATCATAGAGTAGTAATCGCATCGTGATGGAACGCTTCGTGGGCCAGAGGGGGTGAGCGGGTCGAACTAACACTTTTGTGGGCTGGACGGTCTACATAATTTGCGACCTCATAGGGGAAGTAAATTAAACAGGTTGGATTACTGCTGGTGATATTGTGTAGGCCTCCTCCTCCTCGTACAACCGCTCTGCGCTGTTGAATACCATTTACTGAAGACGTTGTTTTATGGGAGATAACGAGGGTTGGTTAGGTGACTTTTCTCTGGACATTAGGCAACGATTCTCTATGTTTCATAATCGGCGAAGTTTCCGCGCCTCACCATGCTTTAATTGTTTTTATTTTAACTTTTTATTTACTGCTTATTATTGTTTTTCACGGCAGAGGGTGATGTGAAATGGAGCCACAATGATACTGAGGTGTTTGCAAAACTTGTATCTCAGGCCAGATCGAATCGCGGTTACCCTTTTCGAGGGCTCATGTCTTACCCACTGCACCACTGGGGACCTTGCTTTGCTATTCCCTCAGCTAGTCTCATATCTAGCGGTGCCATCAGCAATCACCCGTCAACGGGAATCATCTGGGGAGCACAAATCGGCATTGACGAATGATCGGTAGAATTGGTTGAGAGAAAGGAATAGCAAGGGTCTCATTGGTAGCGTGCCTAACACATGAGAGCCGGAAACGGTAGCCATGGTTCGATTTGGTCTGGGGTGCAAGTTTTGCAACTCTGTCAGCATCATAAATGGATAGAGGATAAAGTTCTCGGAGCTGATCAATCCTTGGGGATGTGCCATGGATTCTTCATTAAGAATCGTTTGGAGGTGACTGGGTGCATATGCAGTGACGGATATGCATCTGGCCTTTACAATGACTCGCGGTGGCTTACAGGTGTATCGAGCCAGTGCTGCTATCCTCGCTGACAAGTCTGGAAGCGATTTGCCGATGAAAGGGTTGGCGGGCCAGAGGCGCAGGTATCGATCCCGTGTGGTGTTGCAGGGCTTCTCAGACCACAGCGCCACACGCGTCCTTAGCATCATAGTGGTTGTTTTTGTTTTGCTTCGCTTTTTTGTTCGCCTTTTTTTTTCATTGTTTTTTCCAACTATTTTAACTGGGTTCAGTGCCAATTTGTACTCCCTAGACAATTTCTCTTGACGGGGACTTGCTGATCACAACGCTAGAATGAAAAGCTGTGTGAGAGAAAAGCAAAGCAAGGGCTTTGGTTGGTACAGTGGGTAACTCATCAACCTCCGGTAAGGGTAATCGCGGGTTCGAAGCCCTGCTGAGATTCTAAGCTTTGCTCATATCTCGGTATCCTTGTGGTTTTATTCAATTGTGGGTTCTGTTTTCAAGCTATGCAGTTTGAGCTGCCACAAGTGTTATGGTAGTAAGATTTCTTCTACTGCTTTTCTGCAAAGCACTGTAACCCCTAAAGTCTTGTGCGGTTCTACAGTGATTTATCAAATCTAGAGGTCAAGAGGACTGGCGTCTCCTGGTGAATTGGAAACTCTTTGCTTTTGTTGTGGAGATGTTCACTGAGTTCGGCGTATTCCTCGGCGTTCTTTTGGACAATGACGTATTCTCCAAAAATGGTTGGTGAGGCGAACGAATCTGTTTATGATGATTCAGCGAGGTGGTTACAAGTGCTCTGTGACACACGTGGTTTTCGATCCTGTGCACGGGTTCACCAAGCCTTCCATCTGTCATACGTCTACAGATTGGTACCAGATATATTCAGGAGTGTATCAGCACTGAAATGATGCATCGGTAGGCAACCGGAAATCATTGTATAGGCCAGATATTCATTCAGTCACCTTCACCAATGCTCAACGAGGTCAAATGCCTAGCGCTGCCATCAGGGATTGAACAACGTAGAAAACTTTATTGTTTCATTTTTTATAACTCCTATAGAGGTCGTTTTCTTTCCGCTGGTTTATTTTGGCGCCTAGAACTTTATTGTTTTATTTATTTATATGATCTTATAAACTGATCTTCTTAAGCTGATGCGAGGTTGGTACAGGTCTTCGTTGTCGTTGTCGTTGTTTTTGATGTTATTGATCGATGGCTGACGTTTCGGCGACTTCGCCTTCCTCAGAGCCTGGACGTACTTTATATTAGAATATTTTTATTATTCGGTGGAAAAAAAGGTTAAAGCATTAATGAAGATCAAACTTTTAAATAGACGCCATATTGAACAGAAAGGCCAATCACCGTGATGTTACGTGTGGGACTGGCCCACGCGTTGTTTACGTGGGGTCGCGAGCAAGGCACACCCCGGAATCAAAATATCATTTTGAAATAGGGCGCCAGGTCACGCGTGATAGTGAGGCATTCGTCTTTCCAGTTCATCTTTGGATTTTTGAAATTTATCCAAAACGCCTCAAGAGTTTTGCGCGTTGATGTTTTTGATTCCTGCGCTAGGATCCCTACAGTCACTTCAAAATCATCACAAAATCAAATGTGTGTACAGGAGAAGAGGAAAGGAAGGAATCGCAAAACTCGGCACGAAAAATAGCCATTTCCAATGGCTACGAAGTAGAAACCACTCAGATTAGACAAAAACGTAGGGTAGATCCCCAAAATAATATTTCGGACGTAAGTAAGATCCCGTTTAAGCTACCCTTCATATCAAATGAAGTAAGTCACGCCATAAAAAAGTGCTTAAGAAGAAGTGGTCTTCAAATTATGAAACGATTATTGACATCCCATCCAATACCCTACGCCGTCAGTTCGCAACCATCTCTACGATCGTTTGTGCAGCTCAGAAAACTCTATGATCTGTCCTAACGGGAGAGACGGGGATTGCATGAGTTCAGGTATAATACACCTGATCTCATGTAACGCTTGCGGTGAGGAATATGTTGGGGAAACGGGTAGATCACTTTGTGTCCGCATGAAAGAACATCTAAATGGGAAAGTTAGAATCCGTCAAAACACTCTAGGTACGCATAGGACACAAAAGCACAACGGCTGTGATTTTGAAGTGAGTGTGTGGATCCTAGCGCAGGAATCAAAAACATCAACGCGTAAAACTCTTGAGGCGTTTTGGATAAATTTCAAAAATCCAAAGATGAATCGGAAAGACGAATGCCTCACTATCACGCGTGACCTGGCACTCTATTTCAAAATAATATTTTGATCCCGAGGTGTGTCTTGCTCGCGATCCCACGCAAACAACGCGTAGGCCAGTCCCACTTGTAGCAGCACGATGAGTAGACTTTTTGATCAATATAAAGTTTATTTGAAAGTTTGATCTTCATTAATACTATAGATATTTCACCGAATATAAGGATACTGTTACATAAAATACGTTCAGGTTCTGAGG